AATAACTAGTTAATCTAACGAATTGATTAAGTAGTTAATCTAGCCATAGATCTAGTAGTTAATCTAGCCATAGATTTAGTAATTAATCTAGAAATGGATTAAGTAGTTAATCTAGCCAAAATTAAGTAATTTTCTAGCTAAAGATTAAGTAGGTCATCTGGCCATAAATTATGTAGTTATTCGAACCATAGATTATGTAACTAATCTAGCAATAGATTATATAGATAATCTAGCCATAGATTTAGTAATTAATCTAGAAATGGATTAAGTAGTTCATCTGGCCATAGATAATGTAGTTATTCTATCCATAGATTTAGTAATTAATCTAGAAATGGATTAAGTAGTTAATCTAGCCAAAACTAAGTAGTTTATCTAGCTAGCTAAAAATTTAGTAGTTCATCTGGTCATAAATTATGTAGTCATTCCAACCATAGATTATGTAACTAATCTAGCAATAGATTATATAGATAATCTAGCCATAGATTGAGTAGTTAATCTAATCATCATTAAGTAATCATTAAGTAGTTAATCTAATTAGAGATTAAGTAGTTAATCTAATTAAAGATTAAGTAGTTTATCTAATCATAGATTAAGTAGTTAATCTAGTCATTGATTAAGAGCTTTACCTAATTATAGATTAAGTAGGTAATCTAGTCATTGATTAAATAGTTAATCAAGATTTATATTACGTATTTAATTTAGACATAGATTAAGTAGTTTATCTAATCATTGATTAAGTAGTTAATCTAGTCATAGATTAAATGGATAATCGAGTCTTATATAACGCAGTTAATCTAGCCATTGATTACGTAGTTAAGCTAGCTATAGATTATGTACTTAATGTAACCATAGATTAACGATTATACTTAAGTGGTTAATCTAAATTGGAGTAGTTCATCTATAAACGATTCAGTTGTTAATCTTAATCATAGTTGTCAATCTATGACTAGTAATTTTAGTTACGAATTGACCTTTTTTCTCTAATCAAATATCCACTATTACTTTAACATTCACTTATAATTAAATAAATATGAAATAAATATAAAATAAATTTCTTGCATTAATGAGAATAACAATGGGTTCATAATCTTAGAATTTTTTTAATCATTTTTATTGTGCTACTTACCAAAGTTTTTTGCGTTTATACCAATATTGACAACATGTTTTATTTGGCCAAGCAACATGATAGAACTGAGCCCCATATACAATACTGTTACACAAGTTTGAATTGATCTATATGAGAAGTTTAAATGTAACGAATCAGGACGACGGATATTTTCCACAGGCATAACACCAAAGCATTGAGCCATTATCAAAACTAATGAAAGGAACAAATTTATAATAAATAATACACATTAAAAAAATTACTATATGGTCGGCTCTAAAATTTTCGGTGAGACGTATAATATTTTATTTTGTTCAATTTATTCGTCAATATTTTTCTAATCCATAAAATAATATATTAACCATTTGTCTGACATATCTATTTCTTCATTCCCTTCTTTATTCGTGTCAAAGAATTTATGCCAAAACATCCTTTCACGCTTTGCAAATAGATAGTAGTATTGGTCTTTGATGTATTCGTAAGCCCACCACTTCCAGAATAATTGCTATATAGCAGTTTCAATTGCTTTTCCATTATACTGAGAACACCATACAGCCAAATAAAATTTAAAGTGGAAACTCTGATTTTACTACAATATACGAGCTTCGAGAGAGAATCAGATACTCTGTTGAAAAGACCAATCTAGAAGCAAAATTAGTTAATAATTTTGATCCCAATGGTCAATGGCTTTCTCATGAATGAATATTTTTGTAAAATATAGTCCACATTTTTTTTTTATTAACTTTATGGGAAATAGTTGTCAACTTTAATTTGTGGTTATTTAAAATATGTTAGAGATTTATGGATTTTTTACTTATTTTGATATTCATAGCATTTGGGTGCCAGAAGAAAGAGCAGCAGCCAAAATCTTCGAAGTCAAAACAACGAGAAGAAAATCAAGACCGAGAAATAGCTGGATTGACAGTATCTGACAGATATAATAGTTATCAAGTGGAAAATAAAAGCCTAAAATAAAGAAGAATGGAAAAATGTCGTAAAACAAGCTTAGGTTCTACATGGACTGTAGCTATGGTTGATGATGATAATACGAGGGTGGTTTGACAAGTCAGTGACTTTTTGAATTTCCCGCGCAGTTACTCCAAATGCAACAGTGCTGCCGTCAGCTGTAATCTACCAGTGGGTAACTTTCTAATTTTGAGCAAGCTACGTCATTCAGTTGGTGTTTGATAGCCGTTCAAAGCAGACAACCTCGTTAATTTTTACGAAAATGGAAAAAAGTGAATTTCGTGTGCTGATTAAGCATTCGTAACCAAAATCCACGAATTGGGATACGAACTGCTACCCCATCCAGCATATTCTCCAGATTTAGCCCCCTGCGACTATTTTCTGTTGCCAAACCTAAAGAAATGGCTGAGCGGTATGAGATTTGAGTCGAATGAAGAAGTTATTACCGAAACAAACGCTTATTTTGAGAACTTTGAGAAAACCTATTATTTGGGAATAGGAAAATTAGAAAAACGCTGGAGTAAATGTATCGAGATAAAAGGTGATTATGTAGAAAAATAATATATTTATTTGCCGAAAAAAATTTGTTTTATTCAAAAAGTTACTGACTTAACAAACCGCCCTCGTAGCATCTAGGTACTGTACAGCTACAGTATCAATTTAGCGTGAAACTTATCCAACTGTTTTTTGGTTGACCACTGAGGTTGTTCTTGTTTCTAACAAGGAATGTTTTATCAACGTAGGCAAATCTTTTTTGTCAATTCGAAGTATTGCGGAATATATAGTTTTATAGGAGATAGGCGGTTGTGATTAATTAACCCCATTCATGGTTTTTAACGCTACCCAAACTTCGCATTAATATTATACATATCTCTATTCCCTGCATATTTTCTATTATACATTGTTTTTAAAATATTAAAAATTGTTTTTATGAAAACCAATGTAACTTATCCTTTATCGGGATGGATTAATTATTTTACATGTACATTATAAACAATGTATCTTGTGCAACAACAATATTTTTTTCTTGCGTAAGTTCCTTTTGTATGTCGAACCATAAACTTTACATGCCACCATTATAAATAGAAATTTCTCATGAAGAACCTTACCTGGTGCAATAGCTCGATGAAACGTCTCTTCTTTATTTTTCTTCACATTTTTACTTTTTATCGAGTTTAACTTATTTTCATCTGAATGCTTAACATCATCGGTTTCATCATAAACTGAGATTTTACTATCCGATTTATTTGAATTTTTCATATCTCAAAAGCGGGTTTACT